CCCCCCCCCCACCCTGCGGACGCCCATTAGTGACACCCCTCCTTCTGGCGTTAAGTAGAATACAGTTCCCAGTTAGTGCAATGTGCGTTATTTAAAATTCACTAATTTTTTATTAATACCCTAAAAGTAAAGTGTACAACTAACCTGTGTTGCATTTTCGTGATGTGGCCTACAGCTGATTGTGGCGGATTTAAAGTGCCAACCTGAAACGATCTTGATATGATATTTCCGTTGGAGCTTATAGAAAAAACGGTCGCTGTCATAATCAGTGACCAGTCATTTTTAGCGAAAGTCAGCCTTAATAAATTTCATTAAATGTCGATTCCAGGTGCAGAGAGGGATAAACAAATGATTCTAGAGTACGAGAAAATTTCTCATTGTCCCGGGAAAATCTATTTTGGAGGGTAACCTCATGTGGAGTGTACCTTTAAAGCATTCGTGAGTTGAGAGGTTTGTGTACAGTAGAAGCAGATTTTCAAACGATAAGACTCGTGTTCTTGATATTTGGAGTACAGAAGGACGCAATGTCCTTCACAATATGGAAATTATTATAGGAATAATTTTCTCAGTTTTGAGTGACTCTCGAAACGTAGAGATTTCACTCGAACATGGTACGGTAGCAGCCCCTGTTACCGGTAGTAGCACCTATTACGAAAATTTCTGATAGGATCCTTTTGGGACTCTATAGAAATACCACAGAGCTCTTTGGGACCTCACAGGAATTCAAACGGACACTTCTATATGATTTCTACCTACTTGTAAGGCATATGTCCTTTAGGATCTGTGTGATTTTGGTCCAAAATCCCAAAGGGTCATGTAAGACACAATAGGATGTCCTGTAGTATCCTATATTATTTTGGGCCAATTTACTGAAGATAGTCCGATAGGATATTTCCGTTGTGAAAGTCATAAGAATTAAAATAAATTTAAAACCATGTGTTCAGGGGGTTGATCGGCATTTTATAAACAGCTTTGGATGAGTATAACTTGGTGATAAAGGGGAAGTTTGGGGCCAGTGTCTTCTTTCCATTCTTTCTGTATAAGGTATAAGTATACATACCAGTCACCGGTCCCTCCATCAGGAACATTGCGATGATACCGACATAGAATTGAAGTGACCACATCGTTTATCAATTCGAATCTGTAATGTAAGATAAAAGGAGAAGACAGTAATTCATGAATGTAGACTTCATAAATGTGATTTTGACCAATATGTAGCACAAAAAAGAAAAAAAAAAAAAAACCAATCAGAAAGAGCATACTTCCGCCAAGATAAATAATAATAAACAATAAAACTAATAATTAATAAGTAATTAATGGATATCATCCCCAAAATCTAATCATTTCTTCCTTGGTCCATTTCTGACCTATCCTAAAAATATCATAAAAATTCAATACTTTTGACTTAATTACCTCATGATTGAAAATCATTGAATCCATTATTGGACCATCACCAAAATGTAATGAGACCTTTCTTGAACCAAATCTTTACTGTGTCGGTCACTTCCTCTGCAGAAGATCGATTTAGAAGGATAAAAAGCCGCCCGCCTTTGTCTGTTACCTCTGGTACAGTAGTAAATAGTAGATCAGCTCAATTTTATTCTCATTAAATTTAGGCGAGATGCGTATCTCATCTTCTACCATGTCAGTGTGTTCACATTTACTGTGTGTCATCACAGTCTTGGACCCCATTTCCAGAGATTAGATCGATCTACTTTAGATCGACCTAACTCCCTGGGGGTTCACGCTAAATAGCTGTCAGCCGGGCGGACACGAAAGTTAATTACCCCCTTACAGCTTGTAGCAGGCGGGACGGACATTTAAGCCGGATTATCTGACAGTAATCTAGTGAGACTTCCCGCGGGGATAGATCGATCCAAAAGCTCTGGGAATACAGCCTTGGAGTAGTATATTGTCCTATTTCAATCTTAAAGGCATGACCACTGATCCTCATTTTTGCCAAAACTTTATGTCATTAGTGGGGCATTAATTTTCATTCTATGTAAGTCAGGCTCATAATACTATTTAGACTTTCTGTACTTTTGAAGTCTGTGATTTTTATGGCCGCCCGCATGAAATACAAATAACCGCCTATAGATTTCAGAGCTGTGTATTTCCATTAGCTATCGAAGCAATGCTGAAAATGATGGTACGTATGCTTTTTGCATGACACCCTATGCACTAAATATTCTCGAGGGTATGATATTCTATAAGATCTCATTATGTGAATCGCCACAATAAGAACTTTATTACTGACATACATTTATAAATATGAAAGTTGATGCTGGAAAAGTTCAGATGAGTTTGTGAACAATGTCGAAATATATTCGGAACGTACCGTAGTTTAAAACATTATGCACGAACCTTCTCATGGCCATTTGTACTTCGGATTAAAGAGAACAATAAAGGTGGCCAGCAAATCCAGTCGCTATTTATTTGACAAAAAATAACAGTTACAGAAGCAACATGAGACAGAGGAGTGAATATCAGTAAAAATATAACAAACGATTAAAATGGATGAGTGGTTTGCAGACTGCGACCTAAATGATACCCCGCATGAAATACAATTAGATGATTATAAGTTTAGAACTGTGTGTTTCCATTAGCCGTTAAATTGTTGAAAATGATGATTCGCTTTTTGCATGGAATCCCCAGATGCAAAAAGAGAATAATTTTATTGAATAAATAGCATTCTATAATAGCTCACTGTTTATTTGCATCAAATTGTGAATGACCATATAAAGAAACTTAGTATTGACATACACTTATGAAATTTGATGCTGGCAAAGTTAAGTCAGATGAATATGTTAACTAAGTCTAAACAGGGGCGGATTTAGGCCGTCCTCTGGGTCTACCGAGATACGGTCAGATTTTTAAGTTTACATTGACGGGTATTTAATTCTTTCTGTCGAAAGACGTTCAAAAATGGAGGATGGATCAACAAAGACAATTTGGAAGACTGTCAGAAAATATCTCTGGCTCCGCCCCTGCTAAATATATTCGGAGCGTAGCGTACCTTAGTCTTTAGCTTGCTGCCTTAGCCTTAACGTGGCCATGGGAAGGTGAGCTATGTGTGATTTCAAGAAAATGTGAAAGAGACACCTTGAGAACGACGAGAGACCGTAGTCTGAAGATCATGACAATTGAAACAACACTGAGCGAAAGAAAATGTCAAAGAGTGAAAGAAAATGTGAAAGAAGCACTGTGAGAACGATGAAAGACCGTAGTCTGAAGATCATGACAATTATGAGACAACACTGAATGAGGGGTCTGCATTATTCCAACTAAATGAACGCCCGCATTAAATATAAATAAACTGATACAGATTTAGAACTGTTTCCATTAACCGTCCAAGTATTGCTGAAAACAACAGTGTGCTTTTTGCATGATTTTCCCTGATTCAAAATATGAAAGATTTCCATGGAAAAAATAGCATTTTATAATATCTCATTATTTATTTGCATCAGATTGAATAGTCATTACTAGAAACTTAGTAGACTTATCATAGATTTATCAAAGCTGAGGCTGGAGAAGATAACTTATATGTTAAATCTTATGTTAAAATGATTTTTGACCCATGCTTGTGACATAGATGATATGGTATGTAGCGACCAACCAAATAAATAGCTCCTCCCTACCCTTACAATATGAACACAATATTGAGACAGTTCCAAGGTAATAATACGANTAGCTCCTCCCTACCCTTACAATATGAACACAATATTGAGACAGTTCCAAGGTAATAATACGACAAGAAAAAAGTTACTAATTAATAGTTATAGAGACACTGGGAGAACGAAGAGAGACCCTCGTCTGAAGATCAAAGAAAGTTTAAATCAATCATGATAGACAATTGGTGTGCAGCTTGCGCTCTAAGACTCCGTTCACATGAAAAATCTATTTTCTAAAAATCTACTTTCTATTCGCGGTATCTTGTGATCACTCCGAGCACAGCCGAGAATTAATTACAGCTTTGGAAGTAACTGGCTCGCGCTGCCAGTAATTACGCCGCGGGGTATTCAGGGCACAGACCGTGATCACAAGATACCGCGAATAGAAAATAGATTTTTAGAAAATAGATTTTCCATGTGAACGGAGCCTAAGCGTACCCCTGCATGTAATACAATTAAACAATTATATATTTAGATAAATGTGTTTCCACCAGCCGTCTTTGTAATGCTTGAAACGGTAGTATGCTTTTCGCACGGTATCCCAAGATGCAAAATGGGAAATATTTGGATATAGTTTTTAATTACATCTCATTATTTATTTGCAACAGATTGTGAAACGTCATAATTGGAAACTCAGTATCGATATTTACTTGTCAGTCTATGGCAGTGTTAATTTATATATTGAGATATAAATGTGTGCCATGCTTGTCACAAAGATGAAATATTTCTGGCAACTACGGATGACACAGAACCCTTACAATATTAACCTTGATATATATACAGTCATGCATGTTCCACATCAGAAACGTAGCTTAACCGAAGAACCATCTAAGTGATTCCTCTATGATTACTAATAAAAAAAACCCTTGTCACACCTCGTTTAGATAACTGCAATTCTCGTCTTTAAGGGTGTCCACAAGAAATACTGAAAAGTATGTCTGTTTGTCTTCTTACCGAGATTTTTTCCCTGATTTATCAAAAATACTTTCCTTAATTATCATTTCTCGGGTGTGCAATTCAATTTTAGTAATGGCAAATTGGGTGATAGCAGTGATGAATTTATGGATTATGGAAGATGGGCAACGTTTGGATCACACGAACAGCGAGTATATCGGCTTTCGAAGTCTTGGACTGAGAGGCTGCTGTTCTAAATAAAACTGAAGTTTCAAACTGCCATTTTATACATTAAATTGGCGTTATCCAGATCCTAAATTCATCAAAGGGGTTTATCTCCCAAAAGGAAGGTACATGTACCTGTACGCTACATAATTCTGCCAGTTTATCTGCTTAACCCACAGTAAATAAATGCAAGGGGTAACTACATATCTTGGTTAACTTCGTCCTAAATGTGCACGTGCCCACAAATAGGACGGCTGGTTAGAATAAAGCAGTAGTGCTGGGCAAAATGTTACCGGGCAATCCTTGAGCCCAGAAAAATACAAAAAAAGAAGAAGAAAAGGCAAAAATCGCAAAGAAAAAAACGCAAAAAGGGGCCACGGTAATATCGGATGGTAGGCCTCGGAGTCAGGAAAGATCGAAGAAAGCACACTGAGGCAAGTATTGACCTAAGTGGACCCTTCCCGGAAGAAAAAATTTAGAAACCATTCTCTTATAAGCTGCTAGGACTATACCGAAAATAGTGCAGGTTTTAACTCAATTTGCAGTTATGTGTACCAATTTTATAAAATCCGCACTTACCCAAAGGTAAATTTCTTCTCTGCACAGTAATTTCTGCCTCTTCTTGGATACCTTGGTACCTTGGGTAAGTGTGTCTTCTGAGATATTCTGGCTTTTCACTTTCTGTTTTCGTGGCTGGCTAATTAACACACGGCAATGTGTGAATAAGCGAGCTGTATGAAGTAACTAATATACAGGCCAGGGATTAATCACCAGCATTTTCATCATGTGCCATCATCGAAACTGTAACGAAACTGAGGGTCCGTGTGACAGAAAGTCCGCCTTCCATATAGTTATAATGGTTACGGTTAGCCTGACCTAAGTGGGTCAAAATCTAGGGCGAGGCTCACCTGCACAAATGAATGAGAAGCGGACTCTCTGTCATGGGGGATACTCTGTCACGTTACACCGGGACCAACTAACATGGATCATCTTAGAAACCAGGTAGTTTCATACAGTGAAGGTGGCCTCAGAAAATCCGACATTGCCAGACGACTGGGCCTTCCAAGGTTTACTGTTATATATAAGAGTACTCCAGAGCCGAGCTACGAGCGGCAGTGTAGCTCTTGGGGAAATCCACAGTTCTAACCCAAGCCACTAACAACCGCATTGACTGTATCATTGACTGCATTCAGAACAAATTGTTCGGTGGACTAAAAGATCCGCGGATAAATATGGCCGTCCCACTTAAAAGCGATGCCGCTAATCCCCTGATGGGTTCCCCTCCTCCAAACGCACCGTCGCTGCAGGGGCCTAGCAATTAAACATCAGAGCCGAGATTTTATCCGTTTAATGGCGCGTGTGGAGGCAGGGATATCATCAGTAATTTAAGCGGCTTGCTTTTAAGCGGGGTCGGCCATATTTAGGCGGCGGATCAGTTAGTCCGCGGATTATCTGTTCTGAATGCGCTCATTATCAACCCTTCCAGCACAACGCGCACTTAATCTGCCATTATCATTGCTACAGCATACAGGCCCATCATATGCTTTCTCTTTCCCCCCATACCGTAAATAACTGTAGATTCAAACATGGCTACAGAGCAACAACGATGGTAAAGAAGCCTAAGATCACATGTAAAGAAACCTAACAGTTGTGCTGCTTGTGCATTGGAACCATGTGGTCTTGACATATGATTCCAGATATCATTTCCTCCCATGTGATAGCCGTCTACGAGTGTGCCTTTTTACCTTAGAACAGGGCCTCGTAACTCGAAAGCATCGCGCATTGCGACCGAGCGCAAGCGTCTCGATTCCATAACTCGCCCATAATCGCCCCATATCAGGCCTACCCAACTACCAGACTCTGCACCTACGGATCCAGAATAAACCGGTTTATCAGACCACACTACCCGTTTTCAAGGTGTGTGTCAGATCGCATTACAGAGTATCAGCCACCACACCGATTTTGCCTGGTGCGCGATGTGATAGCAATGATCCTAAGCGGGGTTGGAAAGTAGTGCACCTCATCTAGATTCAATCGCTGCTGCAATTTTCCCTGTTTATGCTAAAATCTGACAATACCGCAATTTTCATCATAACCGGGATGGACGAGATTGAGGGCAGGGGTAATTCTAGAGAGGGGTGAGAAACGTCCATTGTTCTCGTCAGCGAGGCTGGCCTTTTTCAGGGTATGTACGCACAGATAAAAAACTAAGTATTGTGGGAACGTTACTAATGAAGCCACTGGTAGTACTAGTAGATATCAGCCTGTAGTCTAGAACAAGCGCCTCGATGACGAGTGAACAGTTGTCAAAAACAAAAGACCCAGGTGTGGTAGTTCAACTACTGTTCATGCGTGCCGCAACGACCAAACCTAATTGTTCCTCAAGGTCACAAAACAATAACCGTTATTGACTTAATCATAAAAGTAGCGCGTTTCCACCCCCTGATTGAGGGAGTCGTCTGTCGCCATGTTGTTGTATTCATACGACTCCTACTTGACGAAAACGATGCGCGATACCCGGATGACAGGTAGGCTTACAAAATTTGTGATGGGGTATGATACTCTGTAATGCGATCTGACACACACCTTGAAAACGGGTAGTGTGGTCTGATATACCGGTTTATTCTGGATCCGTAGGTGCCGAGTCTGGTAGTTGGGTAGGCCTGCATATAATACATTGTAGCCTCTATGTGATATCGCTATTCGCAATACGCGATGCTTTCGACTTACGGGGCCCAGAAGTTACAAAAATATGCACAAGAAATCGAGGCAGCTGTAAGCGGTTCTGTTGGTGCTTTTCAATTGTTGCTATGATGTAAGCCCGTTGGTTCTTCTGGTACAGAGGTATCTTCAATGCCTTTCCCAGAGAGCCATCCAGCCGTCATTTGGACGGCAACTGGCCTTAAAAAACGGCCTGAATTTTCAAAGACGTCTTATGAAATTTTGGAAGGATGAGGGGATGGTTCGTCGGGACTGCCTTACAAAATCCTAGAAAGTAATTTGACGTACCCAGAATGTATGATGCATCCAAGTTAAATAAAACTACAGTGTAGAGTCCCGCACTTCAACTACTCAAAATTATCAAAAGGAAAACAACTGTTCATTTTGATCAAAAATGAATTTTCCTGGGGTAAACGACATTTTCCCATATTTACCAATGGTTAATGAATCCATTTCTATATTCAAAGTTAATTCCTGGGGTTTTTTTCTAAAAAGTTTGTTTGTGTGTTTGTTTTTTTTGTAATAATTTCTTAAAAGATTATTACAGAGCATAGCCACCTATGGAGGTCATGTGGTCCGATGACAAGTACAAATTTCAGAATAATTACTATAAGTGTCGGTTTTTGTGGTAAAATAAAATAAATGATATTTCCATGAGTTGTTTACAATGTATTTATTGTGAAATATAGTTCTCATACGAAGAGTTGTTATCCCTTTAAGGTAAAAAACCCGCGTTTTCTTGCTTCTAACAATACGAGATAAGATTTGCAGCTTTGAAGTAATCAGTTCGTTGTCAGGACTACTTATTGTCTTTTAGTCAAGTAACAGGCAACAACAAGACCAAACTCCACTTTTGTAGTTCGTTGTCAAGACCACACAGCTTTCCAATCATTTATATATATAGATCATTTGAGTTAGTGACACTTGGGGATGGAAATTTCCTATCCCATTTTATCCATGGGTAAAGACAGATTAGTTATTTATTTATTTATTTATTTATTTATTTATTTATTTATTTTTTTTGCTCAATCATGATTTTTGTTAACAATAATCAAGAGCCAGGCAGTGGCATAAACACCCAGGGGTAGGGCTCATGAGGTGAGCTAGCCATCAATGCCATCTAGTTGAAGTATTTTTGCAAATACAGGTAGATCTACCGAACGATTTCAGTCTTAGAGACCATTTATAACAAACTTGATCCGCGGACTAACTAGTCCGGTATCAAATATGGAGCGCACTTGACGGCGAATTACCGCCCAACTACGCCTCTCGTCCAAGCGGGGGCAGAGCAATGAAAGAAAGAAAAGAAAAACTACTAGCTGCGGGGATATGGGGGGGGGGGAACGAAACATATAATGTACTTGAACTTTGATAGCAGTTAACTAGGACTGCAACGTCATATCTAAATGTGTCATTTAAATACCAGAAATGCATGCATACTTTAAGCAGTAAACAGGACCCTAAGTACCCGTTTCCTTTTTATAACTAACTTGGTTGATTCCCCCACCACCAATCCAACAATCCCTTTTCCCGCCTCCCACTTCTTTGTTAAATATGTATAGTGAATTATCTCACTGTCCCGTTCTCATTCTCATTCTCGTTCATGCTGTAAGAGTCTATGATAGCCCTCCAAGCTTCATACACCTCTTTTTCTTCAGTTTTTAATACTTTCTCTAATAGTTTCCACCCGGTTTCCGCCTTCCTCAACAGGTACTCGTATTTGCTCGTAGGATTGAGAAAATAGGTATCCAAACTATAGGTCGCTAATTGTGCAAGTCTTGCGGCTATGCATACCCATAATGCATCTAGTTCCTTGCAAGAGAGAGGGCGAACCCGCATATAGCCCGCTAGAAAATGCCCGGCTGAAGTCAGCGGGTCGCTTGACTTTGACTCTCCTATTAAGTTTGCCATTGCTGTGGCTACTTCGTACACCATGCAGCCATAATGTGAGTCGCCGAAATCAATAACCCCGCTGATTACGTGACCTTGATTTTGACCTTGACCCATGGAGGTCACGGTAAGCATGTTCCCACCTCCGATGTCGCCGTGGATTATTCCTATAATTAAACATAACACATGGAATATGGAATAATGATGCTTTCCATCATTACTATACCTAAATTTTAATAGCAAATAGGTCTAATTATTAGCCCAAAATACATTGACTTAACACAAGGAATTTCAGTACACGTTTTGGATATATATTTCTTGAATTTTGATTGTCGACACCTATTTTAACCTTTTGCCGTTTTCCTCCTGGATGATGGCGGTTTTTGTCAGATCAACTTTTGAAGCAAAACGGTTTACACAGGTATGGAGTACGTTGAAGTCGCATAATACTCTCATACGTAGTTTACAATTACAACATTTGCTTTATTTAGGCCTACTTCTAATTCCACTATACCTTTTATTTCTTATTCCTACACCTCTTACTACTAATTCATTTGCCATTATACAATTTGTTTTATACATTTTAGCTTATGGCAGGCTACACCTTCCCCAAATGGCTGCAATTTTTACAAATATTTAAAGATGACCAAAACTAGCGAACCTGTGGTGAAAAGATAATTATTTACCTTCGGGTAGGTTCACTGAGTTATTCAAAACATCCGACTGGAATCTCTTCACAACATCTTGGATTACCCGTTTTTTCTTTGGATCTTCAAATATGTGAACATATTCTAGAAGGGTTGGAACGTTTGCAAATCTCCACCGGTCGCCACTCAGGTTGTATGATGGGTGCCAGAAATCCTGAAAACCATACGATAAAATGATGGACTTTGAGTGCATTCAGAAGTTGTTGATCCTAGGACTTATAGTTCCGCGGATCAAATATGGCTGAACCAGTGAAAAGTTTGCCCTTTATAATCCCCTGATGATCTGACCGCCTCCACACGCGCCGTTCCTGCAGGGGCCTTGCAATTTAACCTCAAAGTCCAGATTTCATCCGTTTAATGGCGCTTGTGGAGGTGAGGTGAGACCATCAGAGGATTAAGCGGCTTCCTTTGATGTGGAGTCCGCCATATTTGACCCGCAGATCAGTAGGTCCGAGGCTCATCTGTTCTGAATAAGCTCTATTATCTATATCTATTATAAGGTCAATAAGTTATATTGCAGGCCACAGAAAAGAGACATCACCGAGATATATTGACAGAAATTGGTTTATAATGATTTAAAAAATAGACATAGATCACTTAGTCTTTAAAAACAATCTCTCTCTCTCTCTCTCTCTCTCTCTCTCTCTCTCTATATATATATATATATATATATATATATATATATATATATATATATATAGTCATAATTTATTGAAGCCAAGTGCACCACAGTTAATTTTCGCATCTTTGTTTTGAGATTTTTCACAATCTACGTGTAGAACTACGAGTTAAAAACAGGTTTATAAATGTAGTTTGTTATTATCTGAACATATTTGACAGAGAATCCCTAAATGATTCATAACATTTTTAAAACTTTTCAAAATTGTGCCTTAATGTATTTACATGTACATTATCACTACTCTTTACCTCCAGAGCGTTGTTAATTCCTCCACATATATTTCCAGCTTGATATAGAATATCAGGAGTATATGGGACAGTGTATAAAACTTCCCCTGGTACGTAGGTTAATAAGCGCACGACATAATATTCAAACGGAATATCTAAAAAAGAAAAAAAAAACATCGCTGAACCCATGATAACAACGACTTATTTATCTACAATGGTGATGAAGCATGCGCAGTTAAAGGTTAAGTGTAATTTTGTAGGGTATATATGTGAAGTATATAAATATGTAAGCGTTTTTTATGTTCCCTCTTTCATTCAAAGTATATAGGTGATGTCCCTTTAAAGAGTGATGGGGTGAAGGCTGTAATGTGTGCCTCGTTTTGGAGGAAGAAACGCTAACTAACAGCCCCCATACAAAGCATCATTTATTATTTTTTAATCAAATTACCTGTCTTGTCCTTTATTGCAGTTTCTTCATATTTTTCGATGTACAATTTTTCTTTGCTCCAAAATGTTCCAGAGGTATTTCTAACCGGTAATGGTGTTTGGATATTCGTATTATTAATTGTGACTCTCTTTTTGCTCAAGTGGAACAGCATCTCGTGTTGCCCATCTGAAATATTTACAACGGGGTTGAACTCCCACGGCTGAAATTATATTACGAATTTTGGCATTCACACAGTACACTTGAAATAAAATATGCACTGACTATCTTCATATCTTGACCCCAGTTAAAAAAAGTCCCTGACTTACTCAACTAGGGTTTCCATGGGAGTGCTGTTACACTGCTCCGGATAGGGTGAGATGTGCCCATGTGACCATTTAACCTTGGTAATTACGTTCTTAGCCAGGGAACCTGACTTAGGTTCTTAAGTTTTTTTTTTTTTTTTTTTGAAACCTGGGCCTGGCTCCTTGCGTTCAAAAGTGCCCTATATGTGTAGTTACTCGGTGCACATATCATTTTAACAGTGAAGTGTGCTGTATTTATTCAAATTTAAAATAAGGAAATCCTTAAAACGGATGTTTTAAAGTGATTCAGAGGTTTAAAAGTAGCCAACAGAGTAAAATGACACCGTCAAATGTCATCGGTTCTGTACACCCTGACATCACATTGTGCTCTAAGCGTCTAGTAACACGCGAGGATCAACCGTGTACAACATTCATCTCTTCAAGAATGCACCTTTGTTGTTGGAGCTACACACGCAAGAGAACAGGAGTGGTGAGAGAGTGTATGTAAACATAATTCTCTTCACCTTACTTGTATTTAAAGTTCACTTAAAAAAATAAGTTAGACCTAGTTGGGGGCATCAGTCGTTGGCTTTTTTAATTAAATAGGAATCCTACAGGACTCTCTGGTACTCTATAAGACCCTATAGAAATCCCATGGTACTCTATAGGAATTTATCAGACGGGCTATAGGATTCCTACCTGGGATAAATGTTCTATACTATAGGACCCTGTAGGGATTTGAACCAATTTACCATAAGATGTCCTATAGGACCCTAAAGGATATTCCCGTAATAGGGTGATTATATTATAAAAGAAATCTTACCCAGAAATTCTGGCTCCCTGGAATCTTCGGCATTGAGTATCTTCAACACATAGTGTTCAGTCACACCTACATTGCCTTGGTCTCCACTAGTTCTGACGGTCACGTGAAAAGTCTGGTCAAGAAAGCTGTCCTTTTCGTCCACAGTCTCGGTGGTCAAGCCGTAGAGTTTGGCCATCAGATGCTTGACCGTGCTGGTCGTCACACTTGGCCGCACCGTGAGTCGCGCCATTCGCCTACTGTACTACTGTACTATACTGTACTGGTACAGTTGTAGTGTGTAACGACCTTGAAGTGAAATTGTGTTTATAACTGTATTGTACTCAAAATCCGTTGATCCGGTTCCGGCTTTAAAAAAATTATGTCATTGTGAGGTTGCGTGCTTCTAACATAAAAAGGCTTTGACGTGTTGCACTGCCTGAGCTATATGAGACTGCGTTTGAATTTGACCTAGGTCTGACATCGCCAATTAACAGTCTTGTCATTCGTCACCCGGAGGATATATTGCATATAGATAGTCGCACATTATATTTTCCAAACCAGTGGAGCAACTCCCATAAAACTTGGACATCCTTTTTATGTCCAAGCAAAAACCAAAGTGTATACACCTCCTTGCTTAAACCACGCCTAGGCTTAGAAATAAATGCTCTACTGCCTTGCTGTGTTCGACACACAAGCACGTAGTGTCCGAATATGTCCCACGCCTCGCCGCACTTAAGTTTCGCATCTTTACTTTTAAGGGATAACAGCACTTCGTATGAGATTTAAAATCCCACAATAAATGAATTGTAAACATCACACCGAAATATAATTAATTCCATTTTACCACCAAAAATGTGCCTATCGCATTTTTCTGGAATATGAGCTTCTCTTAGGAGATTATTACAAAAAGCACACTTTAACAATAAAATAAACGACCAACCTTCATAAACCTTGAATGTTCAAACAGATTCATTTACCATTGAAAAGTATGGGTACATTTTCGTTTACCCCAGGTTAATCCGATTCATGGCCAAGAAGAAGAAGAGTTATTATATCTTCTGTTCAAGCAGTGCTACCTTCAACTTAAGGCCCGGTATCTGTATATTAGGTCCTACTGGGTAGCTCTCACCGCGGGATTGGCAAAAATGATAACCAAAACGGAAACGGAATTTTTCCTTCGAATTTGAATACTGTTTAATCGGTATCTACGCAATCAACGTTAATAACTCAATCACTTTGTGATTTACAATTTCTTAGATGATCACCAAGATGCAGTGAATGTACTTCAAGTACAGAATGTGAAAATCAAAGTTTAACTTTAGTATAGATTTACCGCCTTATTTTACAATAAAGATTGTCTTATTTTCATTACATAATGGTATGGATGTAGGCTACTGTTTTCTGGTTCATGTCTTCCATTGAGATATTCTCCTTAAATGTACAATTATCTTGATGAGATTCAAATCGCTTGCATGGCAATTCTTTCGTGATTATATGAAAGAAGTGAGAATATTCTAAAAAGCTCTCGTCTTTCATCATCCAAGACGAAGCCAAAGCGGCCTCAGGGGTCTCTAAGATGGGTCGAACCTGCTAGATCGATCTAGGCATGGGAATGGGGTCACAGGAAACTGGTATAAAAGGATGTGAATGGCGGATTTACCATTAGGCCTATCTAAACGAATAGTGTGTTCTTGGCACAACTAATACATTCAAAATGATGCATGGAGAGTCAGCCTGTTTTATATGTGCTATCGTTGTCACTTACGGATTTACAATAACCTAAACCAAATATGTATACTTGGCTCAACTAACACATTTAAAAAATAACATGTGGACAGTCAGCCCCTTTTCTATATTTGTTATCGTTGTCACTTAAGCCCCCTTAAAACATGATGGTTTCCTTTCTGCGTCCCGCGGTACGGCCCCGTTTGAGAGTAAAAAAATAATTTACGTGCCGACAGCTGGCCAATCATTGAGCATTCATTCTGCAACCAAAGCGATGCTTGTACCCCGTTACTACGACTACAGTGATGCCTGTTGCTTGGTCGCACAAAGGACGCTGAAAGGACGCTGACCAGTGTGAATTTTTTTTTTTAAGGAAAATACCAGTGATGGACATCGTGTTGTCTCGTGTTGTCGCAAAGCACGGAATCTGCCGATTTCAGTATGTAATGAAGATACCTGAGTCAGGGAATAAGGCCAAGAACCCAATGCATAAAAACCTAATATCTGAGTGTTTTTTGAAGAAACTTTCATTTCAAATTTAAATATATAGGGGGCCTATTGCAGATGACGAAATAATCTGCAATGTTCTACGTTACAAAGTCTCGTAACTATGTCAGTTGATCCGTTTTCATCCTAACCTAGTCTGGGTGGGAACATATCTTGATGAAGTCCTTTCATTCAAACGCAGTAACTGATTATGTAGAGTTATCACCTTCTGCGATGCTAAGACGTGTTTATTTTACCCTCTGCACTACATCGCTTTCTGCAAAGAACACAAAGTCGCTATTTTAGTTAAGTCGATCTGACTTAGATCGCATTCACATCGAGTTGAGCTATGGCTCTACAAAGCCACGACCTAAATATGGCGGACGTACATGAAAGGAAAACCGCCTAATCTTTTAATATTCCCTCCGCCTCTCACACGCCTCCCCATGCGTCGTCCCTGCGGGGATACAGTCATTAAATATCGGCTCCGTTGGGACGACACGTGGGGAGGCATGTGAGAGGCAGAGAGACTACTAAAAGATTAGGCGGTTTTCTTTTCATGTATGGCCGCCATATTTAGGTCGTGGCTTTGTAGAGCCATGGCTCAACTCGATGTGAATGCGGCCTTAGTCAATGCTACAACTGTAATTTACTTGGGTTATTGGGGGTGGGGGGTGGGGGGGGGGGGCTTCGGCTCGTACTGTAAATCATTGTTTAACCCGACCTTATACTTGGATTAACTTTTCGTACAATTTCGAATTAGAAATCTTAGAGACCATTCCCTCAGATTTTAGATCGATCTATCCCCGTGGGGAGTCTCACTAGATTACTGTCAGCTTAGCCGGCTTAAATGTCTGTCCCGCCTACTAAAAGCTGCAAGGGGGAAATTAACTTCCGTGCGCGCTCGGCTGACAGCAATTTAGCGTGAACCCCCAGGGAGTTAGGTCGATCCAACCTGTGGGAATGCAGTCTTAGCTCTAACCGAATCATGATTCATTTAGACCCTTATCCATCTTCGTGACATTCCTGAAAGAAATGGCGACATGGTATACTTATATTTGATGAGTTGTACATCGTTTTTTAAGGTCTGGATTTAGGTGAAGTACGTATCTTTGAGGGATATTTACCAGACTTGGAAAGAAGACTTAGGAAAAATGTCAAATGCGTACAAAAATACATAAAACCAGGGACGTAGCCTCCGGGGGGGGGGGGGGGGGGGGGGGGGGGGGGGCCCCCCCCCCGGGGGTTTGGGGGGAAAAATGGGAAAAAGGGAAATAAAACCCAATTTTTTATTTTTTTATTGGAAAAAAAAAA